AAAAGTACTTTAAACTGTATAAATAATGTAAAATTAAATTGATTTAAACTGCCAATCATACGAAAGTCTTCCTATGGACGTACGCACGTAAGTCAAATTAAACGCATTGTTTTGGCACATGTGCATAAGCTCAACCAAATCGACAATTACGTTCATCATAATTTCTGTGTTAAACCAGTTTGCTCATTGGTAATTGTCACATTTTTTTATTACTTTATATCATTCATCACTTCACATAATAAAAGGATGCGATAATTACCCGTGAGTAAACCGTTTACCAATTAACACAATTATAATTATTGTTTATGTGGCAACATTCTTTGGATCTTGACACACATGATCCATTGTATAAACATATATGTAATAGTTGAGAATCCTCTAGAAACAAAGAAAACAACTTAAATTCGATTCTTGAATCAACAAATTCTGTTGAAAATGATGAAAAAGATAAATTTTATGAAAATTTATATGAGATACTTGGTTAAATTGTCATCCTGACAAAGTTAAAGACAAAGATGGTAAGATTCATTGATTACCATTAATTTTTCTTTCATATTTTGAATACATTCTAAATAATTCTAGACACATTCTGAATGATACAGTAATTCTGATTCCATTTTTAAGTATAAATAATTCTAAATCATAATTCTAAATAAATATATATATTAGTATATATTTTTTCTTTTAAAAAAGAAAGAATTTTATCAATTATCAACAGCCTATAATATCCTAACTGACGAAACCGAATGTTTTCAAATGGTTATGAAAAAAGGTCACGTAAGTTGATAACTAATTTTTAAAACTATGATTATATATATGTACAGTCTATATTTTTTGACTTGCACATAAATGTTATTGTTAGACCGCCAAAACAATCACTTAAAATAACTGACACTTTAGATACATATAATCAAACTTATAATAATGACAATACACGTCAAGATGATTTTATATGAAAAATTTAGAAAATGAAGTATGAAAAATATCATGTTTTGATTTATTTCACTATGATAAAAAAATTGTCATCAGCCACTAACCATCATTGCCTAGCTATAGAAGATAAAGAGATAACTAACGAAATAAATAACGAGATAACTACAAATTAGATAGGATAAATGAATTCGGCGTGTAAAGAATGACATAATGATATATTGTGTAAAATAAGAGATATTATGAATCGTATAATATTATAATATTATATAGTCATAATTTGTACTACAAGGTACAATTGTTAATTCATAGCGAATATATGCTAACCATCTTCTAATGAAACTTTCTAAATGCATTTACAATTAATTTAATTATTAACTCGTCATAATTTAACTATTAATTTGCCATTGTCGATTTATATTAACACATCTTCTAAATGCATTATATTCCAAAGTACCGCCACCTTAGGAACTAACGCCCTTATTACGTATTTTATTATTATAATATATAAATTTATGCATTACATAAAGAGAGGTAATTATTTTATGAGTACGATACATTCAACCTCTACAAACCAATCATCAAATTAGAAATGTGCTAATTTTTAATCACCGTTATATAAGAAATTTTTTTTTGAGAATCCACAGAGGCAAAACATTGTTTTTGACCCGCCCAAAAAAAAAATTTATCATCGTATTTTTTGACCCACGTAGTGTTACACAATAGTATGTATCATGTAATGTGATCACGATCTCAATTATGTTAGTCGGGATTTTAGATTAATCTGTAATAAATTAAAGTACAGTATATTAAAGCTTATATAGATATATGATACGAAAATGATGTAATTAATAAAGTCATATAAAAGACAAAAGTAATAAAGTAAGTCTCTTGTTTTAAAAAGGAAAAGATAATGATACACGTATGTACATAAAACGTGGTTATAAAGATCCTAGAGATCCATACAAGTAGTTGTTAAATCACGATGTTAAAAAAAAATACTGTACCACAGCAAACGCTTCCAAGTTCGTTAAACTGCAATAACGACGGCTATTATTTGACTTCATGAAATAATATATATTAATTTTCTTACACAAATGACATCACCTTCTTTTCATATTGGTGATATTCTATTACCATTTGGACGATCTGTTTAACATTATTTATATTCTCTTCCTATATCACACAACATCCGTTATAAAGTTCAAAGTTATAAATAACATGATATATATAAAATTTATATATTTTAAGTTATCATAGTACCGATAGTAATGTAATAAATAAATAAATAAATAAATAAATACTAAAGATATACGTATAAGACAACTCTGAAGCAATGATCGTGGAACACTATGTGGGTCAAAAACGATGATAAATTTTTTTTTTTTTTGGGCGGGTCAATAAAAATGGGTCAAATGGTCAAAACCAATGTTTTTGCTCTACAGAGTTACAGAGATGAGTGAGCAAGTCCGAACAATAAGCGAGCAATGACAGATTATAAATTAAAAGGTACAAGATTTTTACTCGATAAGTATAAATTTCTCTAAATTCAGATAATTTGACAAAAAAAAAAATATTTTTTTATCAACTGCAAAAATAGATTTTCACCCCGAATGCATATGGGTTAAAAACCGCAACATTGCAATAACAAAGAAAAAGAAAAAATCGAACAATGGTATACCAAGTGT